TAACCCGCTGCGCCCCCAGGGAGGGCCACATTTTCATTTTATGATGCATTCACACCTGGCACAGCTCAGGCCCGCGCTCAGTTGTGTCCACCGGAGAGGGCAGTGGCCACAGTTACCCTCGTTACCCGTTGCGTTATATTTATTGAGTTTCTGTTGTGGGACGGACAGACTCCTGAGCCCTTCATGCGTGCTTTATCTGCGCTCCCCAGACCGGTGAGAGGATGCTGTAGCCAGCCCACTGTAGAGGCACAGAAGGCCAATCACACAGTGGTCGTATTTTGGCCGAGTCCCGGGGCTGCTGCCTTTGGCCCCGTGTTACCCGAGGCTGACTGAGTCCGCGGTTTCATGCAAAACTCAATCAAATGAGTGGTCAGTCGTGACAGGGAGATGCAGGCGCCAGAGGTACGAGCAGAATTTTTATTTCCAGTAACTGAGTCAAGACGACAGCCGAGCAAGGAACCAAGACACTGGCAAGTTTTCTCTCAGTTTTATGTATTTGCCACACTTTCCTTACGTAGGGCATAGTTCCCAAATGTGCGCGCATCTTAGACACACTCAGACACACACACGCATTTAGGTAACTTTAGGGGCGACCATGCCTCTACTAACTCGTGAGCAGCAGCCATCCCTGCCAGCCCCGGGAAGGGGAGCCCACTGGGGCCTGGGGCCCTGCGCCTCCTCACAGTGGCGCTCCCTGCCCCAACAGGTGAAGAAGGACTGAGCCTAGGGGAGGAAGGCGAGAGCTGGTGAGAAAATGGTGCTTGTGTTAGCTGCAGGGAGTGCGCGGTCTGCCGCGGCACTGCGGGCGCTGCCCAGGGTCGCCCGCGTCCCAGAAGGCCCTGGCCGCTCAGCCGCGCCTTCCTGCCCCCTGGCTGCTGCCCGGCCTCAGCTCTCCTCTCCCCTCCTGAGTGCGGCTGAAGATCCCCAGTCGGTGGGATATCTCCCTGCAGAGACCCCCTGCGGCCGCATCAACAGTCAGCGTCTCTGGATGCCAAAGCAAGAGGCAGTTTATTCACGAACGCTCGCGGGCGCCCCAGTCATCGGTAACTGAGCGCGCCCCTTTTATCCCTCGCGCAAAAGCGGTGATACAGAAGCAGATGCCTAGTTACAGGGTTTCTATTGGCTCGTAGGATGGGGCGAGGGGAAGGGGTGAACAGTCAGAGTCATTTGTGTTCCTTGGGGGGGGTTGACGCAACCAACTGCGAGCAAACGGTCGCGTTTCGGTCGGCCTCGTGCGGAACATCTGGTTGTTCTCCTGCTGGCGCAGGCCGATCGGGCTACCGGCCTGTTTCTCGATAGCAGGGGTGGGGTGCGGGGCCCTGTCCTTGGAGATACACTTAGTTTTGTAAAACATAGCGTTATAGTGGCTAAGCCTCCCTCAGCTGGCCTCCCTCAGCTGGGTTTTACACGGCTTCTCTCCCGCCAGGGCTTGTCTCCGTCCCCTTGTCTGCCGCATCTTCCCGCCCCACTCAGCCGGCTGGGCGAGTGGCTAGTGGCTCTCAGACCGGTGGATAGGATTTCGCCTGAAAAGCACTTTGTGTTTGTCCTGGACCGAGTGAGGGCCGCCCCCGCCCTGGGCGGGAGCGCCTGAGCCGCCACGTGGCGCTTCTGCCACGTGGGGCTAAACCCGCGTCTCCCGGTGCCGCGAGCCGCCCAGGCCGGTGCAGTGTGGCCTCACGCGGCCACAGCGTGCAACGCACACCGAGGCGTCGTTGCAGGTCTGCTCAGAACAGCAGTGGAAGGGCAAGCGCCGGCTTCCAGCGCCGCTCTGGGTTTACTTCCATTGCTGAAAAGGGAAAGTGGCGCGCGACAGGTGCAGCTGGCGCCCAGCAGGGCGGGCGAGGGGCGCCGCGGAGACGCCCGAGCGCCCCACCCTCGGCAGCGGACGCCCACTCTGTGGCCAGGGCGACGCCCGCTTTTTCCACCTCATCTTGGTCCTGCAAGTTCCCCACTCGCTTCCGAGAGGCAGACGCGCATCCCAGGCCCCGCGTAGGGTAACGGCCATCAGGCTGTCGGGCCGTGATCCTGCTCCTGCGGGAAGCGCCTGGGCGCGGGACCCTGGCCGGGTGGGCGTGCCTGGGTGCACACCCGGTGCCGAGGCCCCTGTAGGAGGGAGGGCCGAGGAGGCCGCTGCGGCCACCTGGGAGCGGCGAGGACACCAGCGGCCGCGCAGGGGACAGTGAAGCCCCGCAGAGCGCTGGGCCCACCCTGGCGCGCGGCCTCTGCGCTGGCGCAGCTCCGTTTTCTTTTCCAAAAGCAGGCGAGGAGGCTACAGCATAGCAACACACCGCCCTGAGAAATGAACAGGCTCAGAGCTCCGGTACAAACGACCTTAAAGGAAAACTCCTTCTCTTTCATTACTTTACACCTGCAGGTACCAAAACTTGCATTTAATTCCAGGTTTTCGAGGAGATTTTATGTCTACCATGATCTGTTCTCATATAGCTTGCCCAGGAGAGGTTAGCTATTTCCAGTTAAAATTGATCCACCTTCACCAGACTTGTGGTTGAACAGCAAAGACGAAAGCCATGAATCTCTTAACAGCTCCTGATGGGTTTGGGCTGCACACATCTCGCATGTTTTAAAAGTGGATGGCATCTCAAAGTATGCTCTTTGCAAGTTTCAGAGAAGCAGTGTTTACAGTTTCATAGAATATGAAATGTTACATGTAATTTAGTGCTTAACAAGGTAAGGTGTTATTTTGAAATCACAAATGTTTCTTGCATTTCAGAGTATCTATAGGAAGCAGCATAATGACTCAAAGTAATTATTATTATGAGAAAGCTTACAAATACAATTTTCTTTTAAATAAGGCCACATTTTTTTTTAGATTTATTTATTTGTGCACACAGAACTGGGGTGCAGGCCAGAGTACAGGGGCGGTGAGAGGCTTCACCAGAGACAGAGTGGGGAGCAGAACAGGCCGACTGACGAAGTCCACTGTTGAGGGGAGCAGCGGGGAGACAGGAGAGATCTGTCCGCCCTGTGGGGCGGGACTGAACTTGAAGCCGCTGCAGCTGGCTTGCAGTGCTGCGTTTTAACCCACTGCACCACCAGGGAGGGCCAAAATATGAATTATTTTCATGTAAATTGGAACCAGGGTGTATTCAGTTCAAACATCAGATGCATTGAGTAGAAATGTCTGTTTCTTAAGAAGGGTTTCCCAAATGAATGAGTTGTCAGAATCAGCTGCTACTTAACATAGAAAGTAAATTAGAATTCCTAATTGTCTTATAAAGGAGAATTCTTACAATCTATAGCAGACATTGTGCATATCATTTTAAATGAAAAACATCAACAATTAAAGTAATACACTAGATAGAAAATAATCAACAAAATAAGTGATTTCATAATAGTATCCTCACATGAACATATCAAGTCCAGTAGATTCTATAACATAAACTACCAAACAGTGCTTTCCAAATTTTATGTCCCGTGGTGGATGTCACCACTTTTCAGTAACATGAATCGTAACTTACAGCCTTGTCAAAATATGGATGTTGCGCTCCAGCATCGCCGGTCACGGGATGAGTGTAGGTGATAAAGTCCAGTGCAGACGGTCGACACACGTGTATATTGTTTTTCTCCATTTTTTCATTTTTGTAAATAAAGAACTGATTTAATGTATGGGAGTAGATATTTTAGTATTAAAACAAGCCCAACAAAGGTAATTCTAAAATTCTTGATTAAAAAAAGGACTTGTGTTTTTTGAATTTTTGGACTTTTTTTTCTTTCTCCCACACTCCCTTTCTTACTCTCCCTCTCCTCTCTTTTCCTTTCTATTTCTTTGCTTTTCTTTACCCATTTCACTTTTTATTGCTTTTCTTCCTTCACTCGTTTGCAGTAGGATGTGGCTTTGACAAAGGTTTCAGCAATGTCTTACAAGGAGACTTATTTTAAGCTCAGGATTTTTTTTTTAATAATATAGTTAATTTTTACATCATTTTGTGCATTTTTTTCATCTCAGTTGTAATCCCGTGGGCTTCCCATTGCCAAATCACCCATGTGCCATCACCATAGTCCAGTGCATTTCACAGGGAGACAATTTTTATAGGGAAAAGCAAACTAGTCTCCTCAGGATTCAGCTTTTATTACTGATCTTTTACAGAATATTCTGGAGCACTTCCTAGTCTGCCTACTTCCTACGCTGCTTTGCTAAGAATTAAGAAGAGTTCGTCTTCGTCCCTCTTTGGTCCAAAAGCAAGACCACAGCCTCGCTATAACAGCCCTTCGCTGGGAACTCTGAGTGCCCCCTCACCCAGCAGGCGCAGGGAACCTCAGCAGTCCTCTCCGGTCAACCTCCAGCACTCTTCGGACGCCTTCAGACAAGATGGTAAGTGCCCGGGAAGGAGCATCCGTTGAAGTTGAACAGGCACAGACTTTATTTGAGGAAGGATCAAGACTGTTGTAATGGGGAGAGAGGTTAACGGGAAGTGGGAGTTTTTATGGACTAGGCAAGAGAGACTGTTGAGGGAGAAGGTGGCTAACATTTCCAGGTCTGTTTAATACCTGGAATGATTCTCAGGTCATTGAAGCAGGCATTCTTGGGCTGTAGAGTGGGAGGAGACTGGGAGAAGACTTAAATCTCAGAGAGACAGAGAAGGAATTAACCACTGCAACTTTTCTAAAGTAAGCACTCTTGGACAGGAGGAGTAGAGAAGGGAGGCAGGGAGAAGCCCGCTGAAATGGACTGAAGGAGCGTCCCACCGTCGCAGTCAGACGCGAGTCTCCTGTCCATACATCTTTCAAGATGCTTTATCAACTCATTAATTGCTTGATTTTACCCTGACAGCCATCCTGACTCAATGTTAAGATGAAATCATAAGCTGAAAGAAAAAATATTAAACTTTCTTGAAGAGAAATGTGATAGTGATTATTAAGAGTTTTATACCTTTGTTCGTTCTCATGGTTAGACGACTAGAAACGTTTTCTGCATGAGAAAATAGTGACTAGGACATGAAGATACACACGGAACATTTTTTAGGAGTGGACAGTAAAAAATAGACTGAACGACCAACACTAAGAAATCAGTTAAACTAAGGACCATTATGCAACTGATGTCATGAGGCTCAAACAACATTTCTAGATTCCCAAAACTGTGGTGAGATATATAGAAAAGCTGAGCAAAGCATCAGCACTTGGCGAGCACGAGACTCTGTATCAGCCTCTTTTATACAGATGATCTCGGCAACTCCCTTAGCAGATGCATGAGGTGCGGGACTGCCACTGCCCCCCATGAGGTGGAACGTGGGCCGTGGACCTGCCTTCCGCAAGGTCGCACCGCTGGCCCGCACTGTGTCAGCCCTGGGAACAGGTCTACTGATCTGAAGCACCACCCACGTCGGGCTCCATTTCCGAGATGATTTCAGAGGACTAAACATTCAGAGACACAGTCTGTAAGCACTAATTTCTGAACAGATTCTAGAAATGTCGACAGGTTGAGGTGAGAACCTCAGGCAAACGCATCCCTCATGATTGTGCCAAGTGGTGCCATAATCTTGATATCTGACTTTACATCAAGAAAATTAGAAAGTGAATGAAAGAGTAGGGCAAAATATTTTCAAAAGACAGCGAAGAGAAATGTGATAGTGAATTTTTAGGGTTGTATATCTTTATTCATTCTAATAGAGGATTGTTATTAAATGTGAACAAAGAACTCCTAAGAGTCAGGATAAGAAAACAAGTGGCCTGATTAAAATACAGGCCAAAAACCTTACTGTACACTTCACCAAACAAGTTATGTAACTGGCACATCCGAAGAAAACAAGCTTCACCCAGTCTTCCATCAGGGGAATGCAGATTAAAGCAATAGCGAGATCCTACGCATCTCTTAGAGGAGCCAAAATCTGCAACACTGGTCACACGGATTCTGGAAAGAATGTGGAGTAGCAGGAACGCGCATCCCTTGCTGATGGGAATGAAACTTTGAAAGACAATTTGGCAGCTTCTTGCAAAACCAGCCATACCGTCATGTTATGCTCTAAGAATGACATTCCTTGGAATACCCAAAAAAGTTGGGTATTGTAGCAGCTTTGTTGATAATCGCTAAGTTTGGGAAGCAACCGAGATGCGGTTCAGTAGGTGAGTGGATAGCTAGACGGTGGCGCATTAGACTCTAGAACGCCAGTCAGCGCTGAAGGGAGGTGAGCAGCGAGCCACAAAGGACATGGAGGAAACTTACAGGCGTGCGATCAAGTAGAGGAAGCCTGTCCAGAAAGATTGAGCAGTGCGTGCGTGGCGTAATGGAAAAGGCAAAACTGTGGAGACAAAAGATCAGCCGTCACCAGCGACAATCCTCTATTAGAATGAATAAAGATATACAACCCTTAAAATTCACTATCACATTTCTCTTCGCTGTCTTTTGAAAATAAGCTGGGAGGAGATGCACGGGGAGAAAATCGAACCTTTTAAGGACATTGAAAGTACTCTGAGTACCAATGTGTCACTAGACGTGTCCAGCTCTATGGAATGTGGAGCTCCAAGAGAGAACGCTGAGGCAGACTTTGGCCGTCAGGGGCTGGTTCTGTTAGTGCAGCCTCATCTCCGGCCAGAAACACACTGGCCGGGGAGCGGTGTTGAGGGTGGGGCAGACACACACGCGGGGCAAGGGGCTGTGAAATCTCTTATCTTCTCCTCAGTGCTCTTGTAAATATAAAGCTGGTTTTAAAAAGTCTCTTTAAAGTTCCCATACTGCCAGCTCTAATGCCAGGCTGAATCAGACAGGGGTCACAGAGCTGTGCTGCTGAGGCGTCATTAGTTAGGAGATGCACTGAGGTGAACGCATGTGGGGTCGGAAGGCTGGTGTTGGGCTGTGGTGTGCCTACTCTGACAGAACTTGTGTCCCGTGCGTTAACTTATCTCACTGTGATAGATAACATATGGCTAGAAAATACGGCTTAAAACACACGGAGACAATAAATGTGGGGATATCAAACAGAGCCAGGCTTGAGATGAAGCCAGAGTCTGCTGCAGTTTTCTGTAGACCTGCTGTAGGCTGGTCCCATCTGGGGTAATTAGCAGTCCAGGAAAAAGAAAATCTGTTTGGTTACATATTTCCCAGTGTTTTGAAGATTAAAATGAATGATTCAGTAGCAACTCAGCTATTTCTGACATCAACATGACATGAGCCACCTTGGAGGTTCCTAACTACGAGTCTGTTGTTTGATGTAATGGCCAGCACCTGAACATCGCTCTCGCCGGAACGGAAGTCCGTTGATGTTTATTTTTTCCACCAGCACCTTATACACCTGTCACCCCCTCTCCTCCCTCTCGACTTCGAAACCTGACTTCTTTTATTCTCGCCGCTAGTTCTTGTTCTCTTGCTTTGCCAAGTCATCTGCTCTTGGTTTTTGTAACTTTAACTTGCTTCACAAGGCTCATGATTTGTCTTGGTAACGTTGGCTTGTTGGCTTGCTTTACTATCCACAGTTCCCTTGAACTCCTTCTTGAACTCCTTCAGTCTCATGGTGAATGGCAACATTTCATTTTTCATGATGAATTAGTAAGCCAACTCTGTAACCAAAATGACTCCCACCGTCCTGGTGGGTGAACTGTGTAGGCTACAGGCGGGTGCCGGCCGTATCTCTGGGGGAGGTCTGTCGTGGAGAGAGGGCCACTGTGCAGGAGTCGTCTTTGCTGTCCGAGGATGGTGCTCTCTCCTGGGCGCCTCTCCTGTGGCGCAGGCTAGGGTCTGACCACACAGAGCCTTCAGCTGTGGTCCAGATTTCGGCGCTGGGCGGGGGGTGAGGCTGGGGTTCCCGACAGCCCATCCTCAGGCCGCCAGCAGTAGCCTCCTCTGCAGAGACACAGGTGATCACCTCAAACTCGCCCACCCAGTTCTGGATCCAGCGTTGCACTTTAGTGCAAGTCGGTGGGCATCGCTGTGCACCTGTGTAGCTCCTGTGCTGCCCCGCCTCCCTGCATGCCAACCACACGTGCAACCCTTCTGCCGCCGTGCCCGCTGCTTAGATCCCTGCTGGAGGCAGGGCCTTGGGTCCGCAGCGTGAGAGCAGTTGCATCAACGGCTGCCCTCCTTCTCACAGGCCTCGCTGCCCCTGTTTACTCTAAACGTCGTTCAGTCACAGCCTCCCCTCCCCCGGGCAGCCAGCACTTCACGGCCCAGGAGTGCCATGGCCGTCTGTTGACCTCGCAGGGGTCGTCCACTTTGTTATGCTGGGCTGGTAGTGAATATACAGAGGAGCGGGCGTCTCCCCTCTGCTGCCGCCTGGCCCGACTCCTCCATGCCCTCCCTTACAGCGTGAGCAGAAGCACGGGTGAAATCCACAGATCAGGAGTGAAGTGAGAAGTAACCCTCTAACATAGCGCTCCGGATTGCTAGTAACATGCGCATCACCTGGGAATCTGCTACCATCGATGGCTTTTCACAAGGAGCAGGCCAGAGACCGCCTGTGTGGGACCTTTTCAGGCCACGCTGGCGCTGCTCATCCTGGGCCCATCCCTCACGTGGCAGAGCTCTAGACTGAGAACCAGCTTGATGCTCTGTCAGCCTCTGCTGATCTAGTTTAACCCATATTTAGAGTATCTGGGAGAACAGACAGTCTGGGTATTTTCCAAGTAATCTTCCATAACTACTGTTTTCTCATATGAACATTTGATAGATCTTGGCTCGATGTGACTTTGAATTTGTTCTCTCTGACAAGATCCTGACATATGGTTTTTGTCAGGTAATTCCCTTTAGCCTTAATAGAGAGTAAAGCTGGAGTTGAACATACTGTTGTGAAAAATGAGAAACCTAACAGAGCTTGAATAGAAAGTCATCCCACTTCTGCTGAGATTTAAACCGAAAAGTGCCCCAGATAGAGCTAAGATTTTTTCTGAGAAATGTAAAATTTCAGTTTGCAAAGCAATTTAGAGAGCAGTTCTGCTTCTCCACACACATCCTAGAGATACTCTCCCACACACGCCTGAGGAAATATAAAAGTTTGCACAAGACAGGAAATGTTTAATAGCAAAAAAAGTTAGAAGCAACTCCCTGTCCATCAGAAGGGGACATGCATCAATTGTAGTTTTCCATTCATTAAAATAATAATAATAGATCCATGAGCTTTATTATATATATTCATATATATGTATATATGTACATATATATATATACATACATATATGTGTCTATAATTTTACATCATTCATTGAAAAATTAAAATTGTTAAAAGAACTGACTATATCTGTGATACAAAATGATTATATGATATAAACCAAAACTTTACGATATGATGATTAGGGAACAAGGAATGCTATATTGCACATGTATATAAATACTTAAAATCAAAGCTCCATATTTTTCAATTCAAAAGTTTAAAACATGAATTTGAG